TAACGTACGTTTAAAATGCGGTAATTGCTTTAGCGTGTTACGCTAAGCATGCCCTTTACGGGCTTTCCAAAGTGTGCTACACTTTGCATGTTTTTTGGAATTTAAATGTATTGCATTTAACAATTTGGGGCGTTCCTTTTATTATACCGTTTTTATTTAACTTTTTGTTTATAAAGCACGATATTTTATGGCTTTTACGAGCTGTTTACGGGTTTTTCCCGTTTTTCCCCGGTGGTTAACCGGTTCGGTACGTTTAAAATATTTTTCCGGGCCCTTTTTTAAGCCTTTGCTATTTTTATCCTTTGTTAACCGCCGTCCTTTTCGGGTGCTTACCCGTTAGGGTTTGGTATTTCCGTTAATTTGCAAATTTGCTTCGTACTTTTTAACAATCTTTTTCGTAATATCCCTTTTTAGAATTTACGATTTTTTTAATTCGTTATAACCTGTTCATTTAACCAGGTATTTTCGTTTGCGCAAAGGCCTTTTATATTTTAGCAAAGCCTTTACTTTAAAGCGATCCTTTTTTTTTTAATTTTTGGTTTTTTTTTGGGTTTTTTTGCCGGGCCTTTTTTTAAACGCCCGCAATAAATTTGCCGGGAATACGTTATATATTTGGTAATTTACCGGGAGCTTTAACCGGAACGCCAAACCGGCTAACCCAATTATTTTCGTAATTTGAAAAGGTCCCAGCCATTTATTTAATAACTTTTTCGAAGGCCTTTTTATTTTAATATTTACCGTATTTAATAATACCCAATCTTTTACCCCAAAAGGTACCGGGGTTTTGTTTTTATCGTAATACTTTTTGTACGTATTATTTGCTTTTTCTAGCAATTTTTTGGCTTGCTTTTTAATTGCTTCCAAAGCCCCCGCTTTAATTTTAACCGTTGCTAAAGCTTTTTTTTTAATTATTCGAAAATTATAAAGCTTTTGCAGGTAAAACTTTATTAGCAAAAACGCCGGGGTTTTTTATAACCCCAAATACACGTTCGTATTATGCATTTACGTTGTTAAATGTAACAGCAACGCTTAATCGTTTTGCTTTTTGCAACAAAAGCATTGGAAATAATGCTTTACCGCTTGGTTCGTTCGTTCCGTTTATTTATTAATTTGCGGGTAATACGTTATTAAAAGTTTTTTATAACTTTTAAATATTTCGCAAAGGTTATTTAAAACCCGTTTATAAATAGCTTATTTCGGTTTAATACAATTTTTTAAGCGTTTTTAACAATTTTTAAACGTATGTAAATAAAAAGCTTTTTAATTTTTTATTGGATAATTTCGTAAACGTTGGGATAAAAAAATTGTATTTAATAAACCGGTTTATTATTATTAATATTGCGTTGCGCTTTTTGCTAATTCCATTTACTAACGTTAAAATTTTTTTAATAAAATTTATTAATAGCTTTTATTTCGAAAGGTTTGGTACGGGCAATAATGCTAGCAACCCGTAAAATACTTGTATTTTTGGCTTTGTTTGTTGGCATATTTAATACGTTCGTACATATTTGCGTACGTTTTTAGCCATACCCAGCCATTTAAATTGCCGTTTAAACTTTTTTAAAGTTTTAGTTATGCTTTTGTAACCCCCCGTTGGGTTATCGTATTGTTTTTAAAGCATTGCCCGTTATAGCAACGCTAAATTCGGGACCCAAATTTTTTTTTTATGCTTAAGCAAACCGTTGCTAATTTTCCAAACGTTAAGCTTGCTTTTTTAAATGCTTTTTTAAACGAAATTATTTTTTGTTTGTGCTTTAAAAATGCGCTTTAATGTTGTTTTAGTATTTTTTTAATGGTAATTGTTTTTACGTAAGCTGCTTTTTAAAATTTAGCCAGCAAATTGCTTTGGATTTTTTTTTTTGCTATATTGGCTTCCCCGTTTATAAGCATATTTTAAAAACGTTTTAATAAGTTATCCGCAAAGTTTTGGTATTTTAGCTTCCATTTAATCGTAAAATCGTATTTTGTTAAATTTTCGAATTATTTTGTTTACCGCTTTATTACTTTTTTTTGTTAAAATATAAATATAATTTAAATGGTTAGTAATAATTTTAATAATTTTTTGTAAATAAGCTAAATAATGCCGCTATTTTTCGAAAGCTTTTATAATGGTTAGCAATTTGGAATTGGAAATTGCGTATCGTAATTCCTTTTAGCGTAGCTTTTTCGATAAGTAAATTACCAAATGCTAACGGCTGTTTTGCAATTGCAATAATATTGCTTTTATCGCAAAAGCCGAAGCATCGGTCCTTACGTATAGCGGTTTTAATAAATCGAAATGTATTAGCACCGGGGCTTGTATAAATAATAATTTTAGCTTGCAAAAAGCCTTTTTCGCAATGCTTTTTAACAAAAACGCTATGTTTTTTTTAAAAAAGTTCGTTAAAAGCGCCGTAATTTTTGCATAACCTTTTATAAATTTCCGGTAATAACCCGTAAAGCCCAAAAACATTTGCATGTTTTTAATGCTTTCCGGTATTTTTTATTTTTGGATTGTAACGATTTTGTCCGGCAGGATTTTAATTTCGAATTTAATTATTTTAAAATTTAAAAAGTTAATGCTGTTCGTTTCGAATTTGCATTTGGCTGGGCTAACGTAAAGTTTGTACTTTTCGAATTGCTTTAAAACCGTTTTTACCGCTTTGCGGTGCTTTTTCCGTATTTTCGAAAAAATAAGGATATTATCCAAATATACAATGCAAATGCTATTAATTAATTTTTTAAATGTTATATTAATAAAGCTTTAAAACGTTGCCGGTGCATTGGTTAAACCAAATAGCATTATTAAGTATTTGTAATATTTATACTTACAACGGAAAGCAATTTTCCATTTATTTCCTTATCGGATCCGTATTTTGTAATAAGCGTTTTTTAAATTTAATTTGGTAAAATACTAGCTTTTGGATACCCGGTTAAATATTTTATAAATTAGCGGAAATGCTAACCGGGTTTTCCTGGTAATTTTGTTAAAACCTTAATAATCGATACAAAAGCGGAACTTCCCGTCCTTTTTTAAAACGAACAACATCCCGGCGCCAGCGGAATTGGTTAAATGCCGGATCCAACTTTTTGTTATAGCTTTATTAAAATACCCCCGGAAAGTTTTTAATTCCTTTTTGGATAAAAAATAAATGCTTTTGTAAAGCGGCATTGTTTTTTTTCCAATTCGATAACGTGGTTTTAGCTTATATGTTTTAGCAAAAAGTTCGATTTATAAAGTTGCGCATATTTTGCAATTTTTTTTTTTTAATTTATTCCAGGAAAGCTTTTAGCTTTTTCCCGGGGGTTTTCGGGGTTTTCAGGCGTGCAACCGTTAATACGGCTATCGCTTGTCCCAATTAAACTAGCTTTTTGGCTATTTCCAACGAAATTATTTTAATTCTTTTGGTAATTACCAAAAACCTTTACTTTATATTTCCAAACCGGATTTTAATATTTTTTTGTTAAAGTTAAAGCATATTTAACGTAACGTTGTACCCGTTCCGAAGCATTATTACCTAAATTATTATTAATTTTCGGGTTATTTTTTAATTATTTATTATTTAGGTTTTGCATTCCTTTTTTTTTATATAAGCATGCGCTTTTTAGTATTAAGCTACGCCAAGTAGCCCCCGTTTGGTACCGGTATTTCCTTTGCTTCCATTAGCAAGCGGTTATGCATTAAATTAATATCGCTTTCGTTGTTAACCAATGCTTTTAGCTTTACCCGGCAACCGTTAATTTTAAAATACATTTCGGTTTTTTAACGCGTTTTAACCGCCGGGGCGTACTTTTAAGCCCCGGTGCCCGAACGGCCAAATAACGGTATCGAATTCGGCGGCGATATTTTACTTTTTTTAAGGTACGCTAACCGGATATAGCCCAATTCCTTATATTTATAACACTGTACCTTTGGCTTTTTTCCCTTCCTTTTTTGGCCGGGCCTTTTTTGGGTAAGCGTAAAGGCCGTTAGGGTTTTTGCGTCGTCCATTTGTATTTTGCATGCCGCAGCGATATGGCTTAATTGCCCGCATTTGTAGCAAATAACCGGCTTTTTGGTAGCTAAAATACTTATATTTCCCGGCGTTTTTTTAAATTATCCCGATATTATTTTTGCTTTAAAAGCCTTTGTTTGCAAATTTTCCATTATATAAAAAAAGCTTTTAAGCATTATTCGTTTTTGGATTTTAAAGCGAAAACGGTTAAAAAGCAATATTATTTTTATTTATTTAAATGCTAATTTGGAAAGGTTGTTTTTTACCAAATTTTAACGAATCCGGAACTTTTTAAACAATTTGTAATTTTTTTGCTTAATAACGGTATTTCCCGCAAGCTTTTTAATTATTTGTTACATTTGCAAATCGGGGTTTTTCGACCCGGTTTGGAATTACCGCAAAAAATTGGTTTACGTTAATAGCGCCCGGGTATTTAAATAATGCATTTGCTTATATTTCGTTTATTATACCCGCTAACGGTAATCGAAAGTGCTAAAAGCTATTTAAACCTTTATACGGTTTTTACCGTAACGTTTTTTTTCGTTTTTAAAAATAAATTTGTAATTGCTAATATAATAAGCAATATTTTGCTATATTGCAAATTTTTTAAACGTAAGCGGTTTAAAAATAACTTTATTTTACGTAAAATTTTTCCGTTATTTAAAAATGTTTTTTTTATTTTTGTTTAAGCTTTTATACGCATGCTTTAACCTTTTGTTTTGGATTTTCCAAATTAAGCAAACGCGTTTGCTTTAAACTTTTAACGCGTTATTTATTTTTTGCAGCCTTTTTACGAAAAGGTTTTCGAAATTGTTAAAAATTTGCGGGGCTTTTTTAATATTTTGTTCCGGTAATTTGGCGGCCTTTTTTAAAGTGCTTAACGTAGCGTTAAGCGTTATTATAAGCGGTGCGGGGTTGCAAATGCTTTTTGCGGGTTTGCTTAATCCCTTTCGGTAATTACCCGGGCTTATTCCTTTAATAAAAAAGGGTAAAAAAAACAATATGTTAAAGGTCGATTCGTGCAAAGGCGGGTAGTTATTAAATAACGGGTTAAATGCGGTATTTCCCCGTTTAAGCTAATGCGATTCTTTTTTTAAATTGCTGTTATATAATTAATTATTCCTTTTTTAATTTCCCCCTTTTTTGTGCCCTTTTAAAGGCACGCGGGGTCGGTTTTATAAGTTTTTCCCGTGCTTTAAGCGCTTTCGTGCAATTTGGGCTTTATTTTATCTTTTAATTTCGCCGTTGTGTTTCGGCCGCAATACCGGTAATTTGCCGGCACGTTACCGGGAAAGTCCGTGCTTTGCTGCTTGTTTTGGCGCTTTTTCCCTTCCTTTGCTTGGGCGGCTTCGCCCGTGCACTTAACATTAAACTTTTTCGTTTTAAAAACAAAGGTTTTAATATTCCGAAAAAAAAGGGATAAAGGGGCCCGCACAAAATAGCAACAATAGCAAACAATAACGTTACGATCGAAATTGTTAACGGCTTAGTAACGTTTAAAAGCACTTTTATCAAGCCTTATTATCGAGCCGAAAAACGGCCAAACAACGAGCTAAAAAAGCAATAAATCGAAATTCCGGAACCATTTGTTTACTTTAAACCGAAATAGCTAAAACGACGCAAACGCTTACCAAAAAACAAAATACCGGCACAATTACAAGCTCGACCAAATCCGCTAACGCCAAACGCAAAAAGCACTAAACCCTTAAAATTAAAAAAACGATTAAAAATTAAATTGCACAATAAAACGTATTTATTACCTAAAAAGGCAAAGGCCATGCGTTTATCGATTAAATATAAAGCGAAAAGCTTAATTAAAGCTTTAAAACTTCCGTTTTAGGAAACCGATTAAAACGAAATAACGTTTTTGTTTAACGCCGGAATAATTATAGCAATTCGTAAAGGACAATTTCCAAATGCCAAAATTTTTGGAATACAATTTGTTAAAAAAATAAAAAAACTTTTAAAACTTTTTACAAAAAAACGAAATGCGTAACCCAAAGCATTAATAATAACGAAAAAAAAAACGATTTTAACGCAAGCTTTTACAATTATGCGTTGCAATTAACGGTTAATTTTTGCGTTTGTACCAAACTTTTAAAACCAAAGCATTTTATTAATAACCTGGAACATTACCCAAGCGTATACCCAAAGCGCAATTAAGCTCGAAAAAATCGTTTTGCTGCGCTTATTTAAAAAATTACGCTTACGTTTTCCTTTTAGCACTTTATTTCGAATCGTTAAGCTTTTATACGGTTTAACGGAATTAAAATTGCATTGGTACGTTACGTATTAAAAGCATTACAAAAAGCGGTTAAATTGTAAATTGTCGTGTTACAATCCATATTTTTTTATTACAAAGCGCAATATAAGCTTCGAAATGGTAAGGATGCAAACAAACAATACGCTAAACTTTAAAAATTAAAAATTTATAAACCTTAAGGAAAAAGCGCTTTAAAAAGCGGGATTTAAAGCAAAACCACGCTCGATGCTTACGGAAAAAAAACAAGGCGATTTTAACGGTAAAAAGATTATTATCGAAAAAAGCCGAATTAAATTAAAGTAAAAAAACCAAAGCAAAAAATTGGAGCTTGTAAACGCTAATTTAAAAAGTTACAAATAACAATTCGTATTTTAAAAAGCTCGTAAAGCGTATATTAACTCCATATACCAGCCCGAAATAGCTTTTAATTACGCTTTAATTGTATAAAAAACAAACCCAATACAAAAAAATATCGATAAATTTAACAAAAGGATTAGTTAATAAATCGAAAACGCTAACAAAAGCTTAAACAACGTTTCCATCGAATTCGAAAACGCGAACCTTTACATTTTTGTAAAGGGATTTTTCGCAAACAACAACAACATGTATTCGCAAATCGAATTTATTTTTATTTTGGGCAATAAAAAATTAAACAAGCATTAAACGAACTTTTAATTACGTAACAACATTTTGTATTAAACTTTTATTAAATGCAAAAGGGTTATACGAAATGTGCTAGCCAACGAAATTTACGGCATGGTTTTTGAGTTCGATTCCGGTTACGTAATAAAAAAAGCGTGCTCAACGATTTTTAAAAGGCTAAATTTCGTATAACCCAAGCTTATTTTGTGCATCGATAGCTTTTTGCTTTATTAATGCTTTATTTAACTAAGCATAATAGCAAAAAAAAAGTTAATAATTAATTTAATAACATTCCGAAAATCCTATAAAAATAAAGAAATCGATAAAATCCGCTGGATTGCAAAATTAAACAATTTGGCAAATGCTATAACAAAGGAGCAGCCAAATCGGGCATTGGAAAAGCTAGTAAGCACCAATATAACTTCGATACGGATCGAAAGTTGGGTTAACCGCACAAAAATATAAAAGGAAAGTTTGGAAATAGGAATTAGCATTTGGCTTATTAAAGTTTTTACGGTAATGGCTATATAAAAGGCTTTAATAAAAAAAGGAGCAAAAAAGGTTAAAACCAACGCGCAACGAGCACCAAACCACAAATTAAAAGCGCGAAAATTGATACCCCCACCCCAAAACGAAACCACCATAAAAAAAGCACGAAAAAACGATTCCAAAATTTCCACGCTTAAATAGCAATACCATTACCCGAGCTAAAAGCAATACCTTTGCTTTTAGCAACAAAAGCTACCTTTTTCCCCTTTTATTTTTTAACAGCAACCACAAGCACAATAACGGGATTTTTAAGCTTTATAAGCGCTATAAAATAAAGCTAATTATTATAATATTACGATTTTCATTTTCCTTATTCGCATTATCGTTTTAAGCAAAAAACCTTTGCTTAAAGCTTTAAAAAACGCAATTTCGAAAAAACGAAACGCGGCTAAACGTTCCGCTTTATATTGCTAACCCGAAATTATAATCGCAAAATCGGCATTTGGATTGGCTTGTTTAGCATTAAGCTTAAAAAATTGTTTGGTAATGGTGCGCTATTTTTAAAGTATTTACGATCGGAAAAATAACGTTAGCAAAATTGTAGCGCATAAAATATACAGGATAAAAATAACATATTATATTGTAAAGTTTATTGCTTAGCGCTTTAGCAAAAAACTTTATAGCAATACGATAAATAATTGGAAAATTATTAATTATTAGCGCAAAAAACTTTAAAACAAGCAAAAAAAATTCCTTATATAAGCTTGCAAAAATAACCAAAAGCATAACGCTAGCAACGCTTGCCATTGGAGCTTAGCTTTTTAATATAAGGCTAAAGCATATTGCTTTTAACGCTAAACTTGCCGTAAAGCACGGAATTAAAGCAGCCAAAGCAAATCGTTGTTTGATTAGCACCTTTTTTACCGCGCTTACAAATATTGGAACCATTACGGTTATTGCGGGGAGCGGTACGATTTTTTTTGCAATCGATAAAAGCGATTAAAACGGCCGGAACGGGCGCGGGCGAATTTTTAAGCACAAATTGTAATGCTAAAAACGAAAAAAGCTTGTTAAATTTTTTAACAAAAAAAGGCATATATATAAATTTATTTACCCCTTTCAAGCTGTATAGCCCATGGGGAGCACTACGGATCGGGGTAGCTATTTAAAGGTAAAAACCTGCT